CTTTATTTTTTCCTTTCCTTGATTCCCAGTCATCTCAATATTTTAACATTATCCCTAATGGGCTTTCTGGTGGAATGTCTGGGCTCTTTGAGCCTCTCAGGTCTGAGAATCTACTTTCCTCCTGACCCATCATGGAACCTTCAAACAAGTTCCGAATTCCTGGAACCCTTGATATAGTATAAACTCACTTTAGGATAGAATAAAACTTGTGGTTAAAAGTTAGCAAGGACAAAGTAAACGACATCTTGTTATCTGTAGACCTTTTGTTATGTTTAAGCATCTTGTTATTTGAAAACATCCCAGTATCTGTTAACCGTTAGTCAGGCTGAGACTTGAGATAACTTGAGTCAATTGTCTTGTCTTGTTAACTGAGACTTCCTGTTATCTGCCGACCCTCAGTTAAACTGAAAGCCAACTCAGCATTTTTACAGCTTGGAAAACAACTGATTAAGCAAAGGTGAAAAGTGCATTACGAGGAAGACCTACGGCCTTCCTCCCAAAGACCACTGCCCACATCCTGGAGACCCCGGCCCAAAATTCTTGGAAGGCTTTGCGCAAGCGCAAGGACTGATAAGCTAATTAGCATACGATGCGAGGGTAGGCGGGGTTAGGTAATGAATATGTATGCGTGCTAATTGAATATTCATTGTTTCGCTGTATAAATATGAGATATTTTGTCACTTTGAACATGCACGATAGGCGGAAGGATCCCCCGTGCATCCAGCGCTGCAATAAAGAATATACCACTTAAAGAAATTTTGGCTTTGATCTTTAAATCACCCTCAAAGAGGTTCTGAATCCCTAGAACCCTCAAAGAGGTTCTGAATCCCTGGCCAAATCCCTGGAAGCTTCAAACAAGTTCCAAATCCCTGGAACCCTTAAAGAGGTTCTGAATCCCTAGAACCCTCAAAGAGATTCTGAGTCTCTGGCTGTGCCTGTGTCTGGAGGTGTCTTGCAAGTGGTTAACCCACCCATGAATTCCTAGACCAATCGCTTCAGTCCTTCACCAGCCGAGTCCCTCATGGGAGATCAGAACCACAGTTAGAAGATCTCCGCACTCGCTTCAGAACTAAGTTCCATCTCAGTCACACCCTTACACACAGTCACACAGCTGAATCCCACCCAACTGAACGGTATACTCACAAATCCTCTTAGTTCAGGTCTTCGCATGCAGAATTATGGGTCACAAAGGGAGAGCTCTCAGTTCTTTACTTGCCTCTTATGTTCGAAATCTTGTTGGACTCTAGCGCCGCTATCAGCAAGGGCCACTAGGTGGGGTGCCTCCCTTTACCAGTCGCAGATTCAAAGTCCAAGAAGATCACGTCGGGGTCACCAATTTGTTACAAATGACAATACAACTCAATCTGAATTTAGTAATATTTATAAAAGGCAAGTAAACAGCACTGAGTGCATGGGGAGTCTATACTCTACCAACATGCACACCCAACCATCGAACTTCCCAAATATTTATACAACACTGCTTTTACATATTCACAAGAAACCCGAGTACGCCTATACATATGTATATCCTATCCCCACTTTGTATTATAATTCTCTTTGTGGCAGTCGCTGGGGGTCGTGGGGATGAAGGCTCATGTTTCCCCCCATCACCACTAGCAACCTTTTGTTCCTGGCTCTTGTCTAGACTGCAGGGGCGGCTTCGACTGCCTCCCTCTTCTTCTGCACATGCTCTGCCCTCCACAAGGTTCCCGAAAGCAACAAAACCTGATTGCTTTTCCCGCGTTTCATTAACCCTTGAAACCACACTAAAAATATGATTAAACAACAAATTTTAACAGTTCCAACCAGCAAACCCCGCTGCAACTTCCATGCCTTAACAGCAGGAAAACAAGCAACCCCAGACGGCAAGGCTTCACCTTAATCACCCTTCTTTATTCCCTCTAAACTCTTTCCATTCCTGATGGCCTCATCGTTAAGAGTCTGATGTTATCACCAAACATGGGGCTTGTCGACCCCCATGGCCACACTCCCACATCTCCCCCTTCTTTATTAATATCAACCGTCTTCTTGACATGAATTATTACTCCATGTATCACATTCTGATCAGACAAACATGTCTGAACTTGCTCTGCAGACATTTCTAATTAAGCACAAAAATGTTCAGCCTGTTTGTGTATCACTTCTTAGTGATGTATATCCTGTTTGAACCCTCTCTAGATATCTCTTTCTAGAATAACACAGGTTACAAGCTTTCCTCATTCAGAATTCTGTTCAAATGTCTATTGTACTTTACTGTGGATACAAAAGAGACACTTAGGAGAATCTTATCAAGTAGAAATAGAGCACTGACAATATTAAACTAATGGATGATGCTTAATGTCTTTGCTAATTATTGTGCACTGTGCAAACTAAATAAAGAAGCCTTGGCCCCTTACCAAGGTTAGTCTCTTGATAAGGGTGTGAACCTGTCTTAAGAAACTGGCAGAAACTGGTACTGCGGATGGACAAGAGCCAAGGAGCAACTGAGTCTGCGCAAAGACAAGAGGTCTACTAGCGGTGATGAGGAAGAGTCACCAACCTTCATCCCCATAACCCTCGGTGACCCAGGAGACACTGCGGAAGCGCAGATGGGATGAGCTTATGGAAATGACTCCTTGGAACTAATTTTAACATGAAGTGGGGACAGGATATGTATAGGTGCACTGTGAGACTTCATTCATATGTAACACTTTGCTGCATATAACCATGGCAAATTGCCGCATTGGGTGTGCACGACATTGGTGAGACTACCCCCTATGCTGCCCAGCACTCAATAAATATACCTACTTTACAATCTTACTGATTGTGGACTCCATTTTCCACAAGTCAGGTAAGTAAGAATCCCTTCTAAGAACGTTTTAAAATGATTGTTTATTTTGGAATCACCATTTTTATTCTATATTTATACTATGCCTAGTTTAAGAGGGACCAGGGGAAACCTTATAGGGGCTTTCCAATACTTAAAGGAAAGAGGAAAACTGGGGAGGGACTATTCATCAAAGCGTGTAGCAATGGGACTGGGAGTAATGGCCTTAAACTAAAAGAGGGAAGGTTTAAATTAGAGGTTAAGAGGAAATTCTTCTCTCAGAGGTGGTGAGGCACTGGAACAGGTTGCCCAGGGAAGTTGTGCATGCCCCATCCCTGGAAGTGTTTAAGGGATTTAACTATTTGGTTCCTTTCTTTACAGTTGGCTTTCTCCGAAAATTTCTCAGTGTCCAAATTATTTTGGCCTAGAGTAGATACAATTCTCAATGTTCTTTGAATTGAGTTTTGGAATCCCTATAAAAAAAGATCTGTGGTTAGTAAAGCAAGGAAACCAGAAATTGTCTACAAAGTAGTAAGAAGTGTCCCATCACACATGAAACCTGAATGATCACAAAATCATGGAATCATAGAACAGCATCAGTTGAAAGGGGCATTAAAGATCATCTAGCTCCAACTCCCCTGCCCTGCCACCCACTAGATCAGGTTGCTCAGGGCCTCATCTAACCTGATGTGGAACACCTCCAGGAAGGTGTATATTTGTTTATTGTATATTTGCATCCACACACATGAGCCTGGAAAAGGACCACAAGTGACTGACATTTGTTTTAAAACAGGAAAAAGCCCAGCAGATGATAGCACTGCATGCTGTAGATCTTAGTTCTAGTAAAGAACATACAAGAACAGAATACAAGAACAGAACCACAAACAGGAGCTCAGCACTCAGATAGATGAACTTTGCAATACAGAGCTGCACAACTGCCACAATAGGACTCAGAGAGTGCAACTGACATTCAACAGGGGTATTTCAGAACTGCAATTCTGCATTCTCCAGGTAAACCTGTATATGGCAAAACAGTTTCTGAAATGTGCGATCCCACATCTTCAATAAGATGTGGGATCTTATTTCATGTGCATAATATTGCATATTTCATGTGCAAATGCAATTAATTGCAAATTATCTTGAAAGCTATTCTGTCATGAAGTTTTCAGTGTGCCATTTTGGAAATAAAGAGTAAAAATACAATCATAATCTTAGAGGAACTCTGAATAGCAGATGGGTCATCCTCTGGGCGCTTCTGTGGCTTGCAAAACACTGAACTACAGATTCTTCATCATTCCTTCTGTATCTCTCTGCTTCTGGTAGCTTGCATCTTCATGCCCTATTTGCCTCTTTACCCAACAAAAGGTGTCATTTGCGTTCAGTGATGTTCATGGAATTGGTAAAGAACAAAGAAGGACCTATTGGGATTCCTTGCATGCTTTTGGTGGTGATAAACCACATCACTACTCAGTATTTCAGAAGGCACAGAGCTACCTGATCTAGCATTTCAGTCAGCCCTGTGGTAGAAGGAGAATGTACCACATGGCCCTCCTCAAGATTTTTATAATGGTTTGGAAGAAAGGGTTTTGCCATTCTGATTGAAACACTGTGACTTCAAAATAATACATAATCTTGGATCGAGATGAAAAGAGTTTAAAAATACTAGGGATTTCATATTGCAGTCAACCAATCAAATCAAATTTATCAGAAATTTCCATTTGAATATATATTCGAGAGCATTAGAAAATAATAAATTGTAAGTATGATCAGTGCCTTAAGACACAATCAGTATTGTGATCATTCAGTAAAGTTTCCAAATTCGTGTATGGCCATGATAAAACCAATATCAGTATGCTCACCAAGACTTTAAGTCTGGCTGAGTATCACAAATGGAATTATACACTTCCCTTATGGAAGAGAAGCAGCAATAAATTTATTGATATAATGCAATGATCTAACTTAATCATAAATAAGAAAGTGACTTAAAAAGATCACCATTAAGTGACATCACACTGAGTCATGCCTGAAACTAACGTTACCAACAAATGAAAATGGAAGGAAATAAAACCTTTCAGAAGACTTCAAAATCTTTTTCATGGATCTGACTGTGTGAACCATTCTCTTAACACACAGAAATCTCATAATATATAAGGGTAATATTTCTCTGTCAAACCACAAAGACAAAATAGAGCCATTGTTGCCTGCAATATCTTCTTTATTGGTAACAACACAAAATGGAATAGAAAAAATATTGCAGAGGTCATTGTGAAGCAAGAGCATTGTAAAGAAGAATATAAAGTCAGCAGTTCTGGTTATACACTATATATGTGCTTATGCATATAGCAACAGAAGCAACATGCAACATTTTCACATTACATGGTTTAGTACTTTGGAATGCTAGTTACAGGTTTAATAGGTTACACACCACAAGATATCTATTATCATTGAGGTTTTTTCATATTACTAAATAAAATAGTTCTTGCATTTATTGGGATCATGGAGAAAGAGAACAGCACCAGACAGGATTGAGAAATACGCATCTGCAGCATAGCATAAAAGAGAGCTCTCCCATTCAGTATTTTTATACCAGAAGGGGAAATAAAAATAAAAAATAAAAAAAAGCAGAGAGATCTAGGTCCCATCCTTCTTCCTAGGGCTACATCTACCCTTAGGACTTCAGAATTTGCAATCCATCAGTGATGACAATGCTTTCCAGGGAGAAGGGGACGCAGAAATGAAAGCTTGTCATTGAAATTGATTGCTTTGTAACTTGGAAGGTGTTCATGCTCTCGTGCAATGTAACAAAAACCACTTCCATCGCTATGTTCACACAACAGCCAGGCACCTCGCTGCACTTTATGAGAAGATGCCATGTCATTGTCATGCCCCCTAGCCAAATTGGTAGCTTCTGTTATCACCCTGCTCTTCCCTTGATATTGGTTATGTTCATAGATAGTGATCTGTGGATTGTGTAAATTTTCAGTAATCAACATCAGGGAAGAGATCTTGTCATTCATCTCTTTACCAACAAAGCTATGCTCTCCCTCCTCAAATACCAGTAACCGGCCTGTATAGTTAATGTGCTCATAAGCCACCCAAGGCTGTCCAATTACTTTCACTGAGGAGACACAGTCATTCCAATCTACATCTTTCAGATTGGCAACGTCTCTGGTGAGTTCTTTGGAGTACCCCTGGAAGTTGATGTTCTCATAAATGATGATTTTCCCCATCTCAGCAGTGTTTCTGTAATTTGGATTTGTTGCTGTAGATGTCAGATGACAGCCTGCAGAAAAGGAAAACAGAAAACAAACAACACTTGTAAGAAGCACTTCCACAAAAGACACAATGGAGAGGGAAAAAGAAGAATGGGACAATTAGAACAGTTTTAGCAAGGAATGAATAAAACAGCTGTTGGACGAAACTGAGGGCATGATGCAGAAATTTGAATTTGGAAGAAAAAAATAAGAGTAAAATGAGATATGCATCAAATCTATCAGTTCTTAGTTAGTTGTGTAACTTTGAGTAAATTTAAGTGACATAAAACCTTTCAATCAATTGTTTGGTGTTATTAACATTTAGCAAAAGTTAATAAAATAGCAAAAGCTATTCTGACAGAAATTGATTAAACTATGCTATCTATAAACCTTGCTATTGAACTATTTAAATCTTGTTATTTCACAGAGGGCTGAATGGGCCATAGCATAGGAGACAGAGAGGGAGACAGAGAAAGATAGAGGTAGAGGAAAGGTCCAGATTACCACATTGGGTTCCAGCAATGTCTCTGGTCCAGTTACTGTTCTGTCTGCGATGGTGGTGGGTGCACACAAAGCCCTTCTGAGTCGCACTATTTATAAACTGGACCCAATTCCAGTTCTCACTTTGTATCCTAATTACAGCTAGTCCCTACCTCCAGTTCCTGCTTTATATGGTAATATGTGCATCCTGTGTCCCAGAGCCTTCTTGAGGGGAAGGCAGAGAGAGAGATTGCCAATACCTTTCTGACCACAGCTGCCAGAACCTCGGATGCCAGAAGGTATCTCAGAAGGTTACCCAGGATAAGGACGTTGGCCTCAGAAAAGCACTATCCAGCCCTAGCAGGATCCTCTTTTCTGACCGTATCACCATTCTCTGCTGAGCTTTTGAGACATTCTTTTGTTTTAGCTTCTTAGTCTCTTACAATGAGTCTTTCAATTCATGACTGACACTACATTTGAGAATTACTTTAGAAATAGGTGTGGGATGCTTCGACCGAATTTCACAACTAACAATATTCTATGTAGAAAACATACAATGTATGTAGTGAGGCATTCAATTAATTTCTAAATGAAAGTGAATTTTATTGGTTGTTAGAACAATATTATATGACTTTAATGACTTTGATAACTTTTAACAACTTATCTATCAGTACTACTACTGCTAGTAATAATAACATTATTATTAAATTAACTAGTTAATTTCTGACAACATAAAGATTCTAGTCCCAAGACTCTCTTGTAAAATATTTTATTTCATCCCTTGGAATTTCTGTAGCAGTGTCTCCTTCCAAGCCCTCGCTTTACTAGGTATGGTTATCCTGTAGCGCTCTTCTCATTACCTGAAGGGTGCATCAAGCCTCTGTAAATGCCAGAAATCAGATCCACACATACATGTTGTAGCTCTCATCCCAAACTAAAACCTCTTCAACTTAATTTCATAGTAGCCACCCAAGAAGCTATTTAAAGCTTTCATATAGAAAGTATGCATCTCACCTCAATGCCAGCTTCTCAGATGTGGAGAGTTGTTGGCACTTCCTCCAGTCTGCTGCTTTCAGTCACACGATGCAACTCACCCAGATTTATAGCTCGCACAGAAGTCTTGCGAAACACACCATCAGAAGTAAGAAATAATTGATATCACCCTCAAGGATCAGGATTCTTGTTAAACCTTGTGAACCTATTTTGTTTTTCTATTTCTACTTCCTGCTCTGGTTCAAAAGTCCATTGATCAGCAACCACCTTGATAAAATTTAGTCTCATGACTCTTGTCTTTCTTTACTCTCTAGAAGTCAACCGGATCACAATAATAAAAGCACATCAAACATTTTGTGATGCATAGACTGTAGAAATTTTTCTTGCTGCATTGTACATTTTTGTTTACTTGTGTAGTGAGTCTAATATACAGTAGTCTTCCAAAGGGTTTCCATGTGACATATTTTGATAGCAAAAATATTACTATTCAAGATAGTAGAGGTCTTGCTAAGAAGTTTGCAATAACTAAAACAGCCTTTTTTGATTAAAAGCTAGCAGTCTGTGATGGTTTCCAATCCCCACTTCTCAGCTAAGATCATACTGGATGTGCCACTCTTACAGGCTCCACCAAGAGCCAGCTCCATATTGTCACAATTGTGAACTCCTCAAGTACCTTGTTAACTGCCATCTCCCCCATGCATGGGTACATGCCTTGTTAACATGTAAGTTATCTTCTGGAGTCCATCCATCCCAAGGATGTAGACCTAGCTTTGTTTGCATTAGAATGATTTTTTCTCCTTACCTCTTCCTTTTCTTTGAAACAGCATAGTCAGGTCTCTGCAGTCACTTGGCAAAGAACAAGGGTATAGGGGGAGTTGCTGTCTGAATGTGCTTTCATTACAATCATAGTTTAAAAAAAGCTTCTCTCTGACCTGTCCTACCTTGGACTTGCATTATTACTCACTTGGAGTCCCTATATTCTCTGACAATATTCAGGTGGCAGAGGTGGCAGTTGAATAGCTTGCTTTAAACTCACTTTCCCCCTACCCTTCTACATAGCCTTTTGAGATATCACAGGGACGCAGAGCTAGTAAGGAAAGAGGAGGCTCTGGCAGAGCTCCAGTAGGAAAAAATGTTTGTATTTTCTAAATTGCAGTTTAACTCTGAAACATGTTTTCACATGTTAATTGGTTAGCGTGCTGACAAGCTATGCTATTGTGGAAGGAAACACAAGATCGTTGCTAGTTCAAGAGCAATCCAGATCTTGCAAATATCTACAGCACTGAAAAACTGTTTTGTGAAAGACTGTTTCTCCAGAAAATCCATCTGAGAATTTTGAAATCTAGCAATCGACTGATAAATTACAATGATGGTGATAATGTATATATTTATACATATATACAAGAGTTTTTAAAAAAATCACAAAACTGTAATAGTGGTAAAAGCAAATGAGTAAGTGTTTAGCTTCACTGAAAGATTTAGGATGATGTTTAAGCGACCCCTACTACCAGGTAGCATATTGCTGGAGAAAATGGGGAGCTGAGGCAGGGAGACAGTTCACCTCCACCAAAAGAAGACGGCCACTAGCTTCACCCAAACCCTCCTGCTGCATCTCTTTTGTTACTGCTTGTCTGAGCCAAAGCTGTGCCAAACTCACAGAACTAAGGTAGCATTAAAATATGGGGATTTAATTGCTTGGTAGATTTGGTTGTTTTCTTTGTTTGTTTGTTTGTTTGTTTTTTCCTTTGGTTTGGTTTTCTACATGGTTCATTCCTTTGCTATTCTGCAGAGGTTGGAAGCAGAGCAATAGGAATGTACATTCTGGATTTTGGAGGAAAGCAGCAAAACCTCAGTTTCTCACAGCATCTAGCTGCGCAATCAGCTTTACTGTGCTTTACTGCAATTTTGCCAAATCGCACCATTTCTTGTGCAGCAATGATCTCTCCCTGCTGAACTCGTTCCTGATGGAAAGTGGAAGTTCCCACTCTACTCTAGACACCCTCTCACTCCTCTCCTGCCACTCTTATTTCATGCCAAAGAGCAGGGGGATTTGGGCATTTGTTGGGCTTCTCCATATGTTTAACTAGCACTTCATTAAAAAAAAAAAATAAAATAAAATAAAATAAAATAAAATAAAATAAAATAAAATAAAATAAAATAAAATAAAATAAAATAAAATAAAATAAAATAAAATAAAATAAAATAAAATAAAATAAAATAAAATAAAATAAATAAAACAATCCCCAAACAAAAAACAGGGGCTAGAGGTGGGAAGGAATTTTCTACTCTTCCAGAAAGTTACCAGGCCCATGGAAGACATAAATCGCCAGTCTTTGGCCAATCCTGCTCAGCGCAGCCTGAATGACACTCATGAGAGGATTTCACCCCCTCTCCTCTCCACCTGGGGCTCCTTATCACCCCTGGCAGGATGACTGTAAGGTTCAGGGGATTTCAGAGCAGTTGAGATGTGGTATTTCCTGCTGGGATATCTTCTATTTAAAAAACAAAAGTCACCTTCTATATTTTCTATTCTGAATGCAACTGCACAAAAATTACTTGTAAACAGGAAAAGAACATTTGGCTAGACTTATTCCTCTTTGAAATCAATAAATATAATATGAAAAGTATCACAGAACCAGGAAAATCTCTACCATCAGCAAATACAAATTGAGATGTGCCAACGCTTTCAGCAAGATACTCAGAAGAGGATCTGAGAATCTATTCAAAGGCTCAGACAGCAAGGAAATCATCCGAGCACCCTCTCAAGTGCCCAATTTTAATACAACTACAGCTTGAGTGGGAAACAAAAGTGATCAAGGCCACTCATGGAGTCCACATTTACAAAATTTAGATGCTGGGGGGGATTAAGTAACAAAGGACAGTACTTAAGATTACTGAGGTACAGTAATTCACAGTAGCAGAAAGGAAGCTTGAGATTTTAGCTTTGTGAGGAGGACGTGGGCTCACTGGAAAGAGAAGTCAAAATGCCACGAATTGGATTTGAAGAAAGCTACACTTCTTCAGTTTGCCTTTCACATTTCCATTTGTAATGGAAACATTAAGATTGACCTGAGTGGAGAATGAAAGGCTTGGTCTGTGAGTAGAAGTACCAAAAGAAATGCATAGCAGGAGCTTTACTGTAAGTGTGGCAGGTATTGGCAGCACCTAGATCAATGTCATCAAGCACATCAACATGAAGCTTCTCAGGAAATTCAGGTTAGAAGACAGAACAAACAAGGGACAACCTAAAACAAAGGGATGGCCTCCATCAAGACTAAATAAAAGGATGATCTACAGCATCAAGCCATTGTGGGAAGATAAAGAACAGGGGTGGAGCCATAAAACAGCTACAAAAGGAGACAAAAAAAGGTTAAATCCTAGTGACTGGCAGAGGTGGACAGAATAAAAACAATATCACTGTCAGCTTCAAAAGCATACAGAAGATGCATCCAAAACTAAGGAGCACTAACTGAAGGAGAATCCTGGAGACATGAAACCAGCGACTTTTATGCTCCATGTCCTCACAAGTAGCACACACACAAAAACTGGGACAAATTTCTCTTGGTGCTTCTGCAGCTGTAGCAATAGGACCACATAAAAACAGTCATTTCATTTTAAAACTAAATCAACCTTCCCCTCCTATGCCACTTTGCACTGAGTTTTATGTCATATGCTTTATGCTACTGCGTAGCAACATTACTTGTTCCATTCTCAGCTAGAAGGGAACCAGCCTGACCCTGGGGCTGTGTTGGTTTTTGCTAATTTGCACTTGTTAAGTGAGTCTGAACACAAAAGCACGCCAGCATCACATCTTACTGGTGCGCTCCAAGATGAGAACTCCTCTGCACTGGGATCTGACCTTCAGCAGCTGGAGAACACGAAGGTCAGCTCCACCAGCAGCAAACCAGCTTTATTTAGAAACTCCAGGTAAACAAACTAATCCTGGAGCTCTGCAAGCCTAAAATCAACATCCTGGATGCTCAGTTCTGTCTGAGGAAGAGCAAGGTTTTCCCAAATACATGTATCATTGTGAACCTATGGCTTTTCTTGTTCTGTTGGTGATCTGTTATTTCTTCAAGTCCTCCCCTTTCGGTCTCCTCATCCCTCTCAGAAGAGACATGAGGAACTGATAGTTCAGGGCACCTATTTCCAGCCCCCATCCCTCTCTTTCCTGCTCCCTGTTCAGCAGTTCCTGCTGTCTGTCCTCTTAACAGCAGCTGAACTCCCTCCTATCGGGCTGGGCCTACAGCCCAGCCAGCAGAATCCCTTAATCACCTGCAGGTCTGCAGAGGCTGAAGGAAGAAAACTGTATCACATGCAGCAAACGTTAATTTACACACTGACAACCTTTTTTATTATTATTATTTACTTCATGAGGTATTTTACATTTGAAACTGCTTATCAGGGACTGCTGCATTATCCTACAAGCAATTGCTTCCATGGTAAATTAAAAAAAAAAAAAAAAAAAAAAAAAAAAAAAAAAAAAAACCACCACCCTGGACTGAAAAGATGATTAAGGCATCTGGCATTTCTGGCATTATTATAAAGGAAAGCATTGTGCAAATTCCTCAGAGTAATATCCACAATCTATATTATGGACACCTCTCCCGCAGATATACCTTGTCATAAACAAGGTGTTTCACAAAGGTACAAGCCAATCATGCTCTCCATGTGTGATTATACTGATCTAAGTAAACACATTAATTCATTTGATGATTTCTGCGCTCAGAGTCTGCTAGACAAAGTCCAGGGACCTGACCTGCTGTCAACCTTCACTGCACCTCAGCACTCCTCTACACACAGCCACTCATCCTCATTTCTCAGGAAATGTGCAGCCTCTCTTTCCCTTCCAAAACACTCTGCCTTGTTACTTCTCCCTCAGCCAAGGCCAACTGAAGCACAACAGCCACAGATTGCTCCCAGATGTTCTCCCAGGGGTCTATGTTGGACTGGCTCCTCCACACTCACCTGGAGACATAAAAGGCCACCATGAGGGCTCCCACCTCACCTGTCAAGAGTACAGGTTGGACAGACCCTCTGTGAAATCATGTGCTGGTTACTTGAGAGCATCAAGGGGCTACTCTGCCCCTGAGGATTTCCCTCACCACCCCCCCACTGCCCAGAACAGCCACACCAGGAATGCAG